CTAACGATAATGTTTCATGATGAGAGGAATGTTAGGATGAGTTGCGAAACGAATGATCTCACTGATATAGACGGTGCACGCCATGAATGACCGAGAGATGAACTTGCCGGTGACGAACAAGGGTGAAGTTCATGGCTTTTGGGTACTGGTTTTGTTTCCCCCCCCCCCCCAATGGAGAAGATGATTAGCTACTGCCATCTATAGTTTATAAAATAATTTTAATAATTTAGTATTAAATAGGACCCTATACTAGTTGACAAAAGCATAGCTCCATTATTGCAGGACACGGTTTCAATCCCACCAAACACTTATTTATTTTAATTGTTTTCCATAATATCACTAAAGGGAGGGACAATCTCATGCTTGGGTCTTTGAACTTTCAGGAATTTCAAAATTACTATAAAATTTGAGAATCACACAATTTGGTCTCTAAAAATTATTTACCCCAATTTCAGGGTGTGACACACAATGCTTGCAGACTAGCTCAATGAGAATCGTATAGGTGATTAGATATGGAGGGCAACCCTTTCTCAATTGATCCTTCCAAAACCCGATGGCCTGATCGAAAATCCCTTTATCAAACATGCAGCGGATTATTGTATTGTACGTAATCACATCTGGGGGGGCAACCACATAAGCTCATCTTTTCCAAGAGGTCAATAGCAGATCGTATCCGTCCTCTCTTAAAAAGACCACGAACCATCATGTTATATGTAATATTACCAGGGATCCCACCAGACATTATGATAATCTGAAGAACTTTGTCGGCTTTATCGAGCTCATTTACTTTTACAAAGCCCCTTGTTAAGTTTATGCAAGAAGGGAAATGAGGAATTTGATTCTGACGCCTAATTTCTATCAGCCGTGTTGCATCATTAAGTTTTCCACTGCTGCAGAACTTTTGAAGAATATCATTGTTCGTTTCCTCTTCATTTCTAACAAAAGGTCCATCTAAAGAAGATGTCAAAGGATTCGGAAGCTTTTTCGAATTTATTTGCTCTTTGAATTTTCTCTTAGCACTCGCATTCGAATCTTCTGAGTTCAGACATATCATCTTGATCAAATTCATCTGTGTCAATACAAACACTTCTTTGCAGTCCTATGCACACTAAAGATACTGCCTCTCTTTCAGAACCATTATCGACCTTCCATGGCAAGCAAGAGTGAATTCCATGACTGCATTTGTTCGAGAAAGCTAAATGAGAAGTAGATACTTTTACTATTGAGCACTTCATGGAGCTACAACCCAAACCAAGTTGTGTCGAACCCCACTGCACGCCATGAAAACGACAAATCTCAACTGGAGAGTTGTGAAGGGCAACTGTGAATCCCATTTTCTGATCACTTAATTAAAGATGATATGTTGAGAAAACACCGCAGTTATGACTTAAAGGACTCAACTACGAGCAATTCCCCGCGCAAACAAACAATTCCTTAATCTCTTAATCTGATGATTTTAGGCTAAACTTTAAATGCTTGACAAGTAATTCTCTCACTTTCCCAGCTCGTCAAATCGAGAACAAACATCAAACCTGCAACAGTAGAAGCAAGCAACATCAAAACCATAACTCCTATACCAAAAAAGAAAACCCCACGAATTGCATGGCAGATACATATATGAACAATAAGAATTAGCAAACCATGAATAGATAATGCAAACCCTGAACCCTAAACTGCCATGTCCCAGCGTTAAAACAGCTAAAGCCTGCTGCCAAAAAAAAGGCAATGAAAAACAAACCGAAATTGATAGTACATTGTTTGAGTTTTGTTTTATTTTAGTACATTGTTCAAAATCTAACACTAAGTTTTGAAAAAATTGAACATTTAAATACTAAAAAAAGCCGAAATTGATAGTTTAGGTATTAAACGTATTGAGTTTCTAATGGTGGGTATTAAAATGGAACAAAAACTAAATGTTGGGTATGGTTTTAAAAAAATTGAAAGTTTAGGTATTAAAATAGATCATAATTGATAGTTTAGGTATAAAATGCATAATTTTCCCAAATAATTAAGATACCATTAGATAATTTACCCTTTTCTTTATTAAGAGAATGTGAATGGTCTTTCAAAATTTAAAAAAGTAATTATTTAAAATTTATTTTATAATAATTTAGTAATTGGATCGATGCGATATAATTTATGATATTTATTCAATTAAAATATTGCATTTATGTGTTAAAATATTTTGCCGCGTACAAATGCTGTAAATTGCTTCAACAAACATAAATGCACAACAGATTTATTAGGTCACTGCTAAAAAAGGCAAGAGGTACACTTAATTTTGACCTTTTTAACTTTGATGGAATTCTGTTATTTTCAGAATTGATGAATTAGTCCCTTACCATCTCCCTTCTATATTGGAATTGTTCTTGGCTTTGATTTTTCTTTTCTCAAGGTATTATTTTGATTTGTGGTGGGTCACCTTGAAAACACCAATTTTAGAAGAACAAAAATATGCTGTTATTTTATAATCATAAAATAGCATTTGTTTTCCTGTTGAATTTGGTGCCTTTTCTTTTCCAATTGTGCAATTTTGGAGTTTTAGGGTTAGGGTTAGGGTTACGCTAAGATCTGTCTAGAATCAGATTCTGCATTTATTTTTTCCTTTTTATAATTTTATTTTAATTTTAGTGATCTCAAACCTGGAAAGGTTTATGGTGTACTCATAAGGAGTTTTCAGAGCTGCTCTGACTAAAGCCAAATTGCAGAAATATTGCGTATCAACACGATGTAAACTCAATTGTTTTTTTTCCGTACTTTTTTACCCGATGATGATGAAAGAGGAAACTGGAATTTTATTTTGAACTTTTATTGCTTAATGATTGATTGTGTTCTGAAAATTTTCTCAATCAAATAATTTGGTAGTGACATTGTAGGGTTTATGATTATTTAATCCGACTTATTTGTGATGAAAGTAATGCATGGATTTATTTAGGTCTCAAATTTTAAAAAAAAAAATCTAAAATGAATATTGCTGGATTTGATGTTCAATTATATATGGTGTATTTATATTCCTGAATGTTATGTTTGATTGTTTTGTTGGACGAACTTAGCTGATCCCAGAAGGGTCTGCAATGGTGATCTTTTCTTGTTTTTATGAACTTTTTAGGAACAATTGTTGAGAAATTTGATCACAATGGTTATTAATATAAGGGATAGTGATTTTTAAGGTTATTAAATTACTTTCAACCGCATTGTCAGTTTTGGGCTTTGAATCAACTCATTGGAGAATGAGAAGGGATTCATCTTGTTGGTTCAACAAATTAGATTATAATAGTAGTTTGGTAAGGAGTTTTATTGAATGCATGTATGACCCTTCAATGACTTCAGGCGGTTTAGTTATAAAATTATATTTGTGTTGCTTTTCGGCTATAATCTGTTACATGATTGTAGGATTTAGGGCTTGATTTATGCATGAGATAAAGTGAATATGATTAATAATGATTGGAAGTGTTAGTCTCAGCAACATGCTTTTAATTTTTGTCCTTATGGCCCTTGGATGACTTTAATCTGCTTTGTTAGAGAATTGTATTTGTATTTTTGGTTCAACTTTTATAAGTGGCATGATTCAAAATTTGGGTTTGCTTATGCATGAGATGAAGCAATATGATTAATAATGCTTCAAAAGTGGTAGAATCACCAACATGCTTTAGCGTTGATCCTTTGTTACAACTGTGTGTTTGAGATTGATATCTCAGCTCATTAAAGGGAGATTGAAATCTTAGGACTCATTAGAGAGAGAGAGACCTAGACCGCTTTAGGGTTTTTTCATTATAAAATTTTCTATAATAAAAATTACCAATCTTATGATATTAATAGAAAGCCTACTTTAGAGAAGAAATAAATCAACTGGAATAAAAGCACAACAAAATCTAAGAAAGAAATAAAATCACATCCTAAGCCTTATTAGAGACTAAAAAATAACGGCCTTCCCTAACATCCTTACATTATTAATGCTAAAACCCGAATCTTTGAATTTTTCTTATTCGATCTCTTTCTCTAGCTCTTCTGCTGAGGATGGGTCAGAAAATGGCTTCTCAAGTATCATAGGAATTGCCAAAGAACTAACTAGATGCTGGAACGTACTTATCCTCGTATCTTTTTGATCTAAGTGCTAAACTGTGGTGTTCTGGTTAAAACCTTAAATCTATTGTAACATTACTTCAGTTTTGACATTTATGTTCATGGCTTTATTTTGAATGGAAATAAAGTTTTTGAATTATGATTTTCTATTTATTTTTTCATTTCTGTGCAGATAAATATTCCTTTTACAGCCGTTAAGTCAAATTAGGTATCCTAAATTGGGCTGCTGAATTGGTTCTAGTTTTTAAGGTAGGGCTCTTTCATATTCATCTGTTTTCTATTACTTGTACAGAATTTAGTGTTTGAAGTGTTATCTATTGCCTTGTGTAGCAGTACAGATGGGGACAGAACCTATAAGAGTTTGTGTTAAAGAAGAGATTGATGATATTCCGTCAGTTCCATCAGTCTTTGAGTCTCATGTATCATTTACCTTAAAGAGTGGAGAGCTGGACAGTAAGAAACATGAGAGTGCTACTGTGATTTGTTGCTCAGCCTCTGCTAGTACCTCTGATGCCAGTTCAGTTCAGAAGGAAACTGGGTTGGATGAAAGTACAAAGATTACATGGACTAAGAGGCGCAGAACTTGGATAAACTATTGTGGATATGATAACAGTTCAGGCTACGACGATCATGGAGAGCTTGATCAAGTTAGTTTCTTAAAGCCTCGTTAAGTTGTTTCTTTTGTGTTTTTTTTCCTTTTTTTCTCTTTATTGAAAATGTTGTCCTGTTTGGTTAAATTTAAAGTATGCTCTTCCTTTTTGAGAATGCTGCATCTTAGTAGTTTCATCTATGCCACACATTTTGCAGAATCTAAGATTGAGACTTAATCTTCCTAAAGGTGTTATACGTGGCTGTCCAGAATGTAATGATTGCCAAAAGGTTAGATTGCCAATTTCTTTTGCAATTTCCTCGTTTCCTTCATCTTTCATAATTCGCCTCAGGCAGCACAGCTCCTATATTGACATCTAATTGTTTCTTCGTGCTATTATGTTTATAATTCTGTAGCAGCAACATCTAATATATATATATATATATAATGATTCAGAAGTCCCTTATAGTTAAGTTTTTGGCAGGATGCCATAATGACTAATTTATATCATAGTGTAGCTTAAAGCGATAACTAGTTAATTCAAGGACTATCCAGACTGTATAATTGATATGCTGTTTTACGATGTTAACCGGTGTCTTCAAATATTATTTTATTATTTCATTGATATGTGAAGTGTTGAAACAGGTAACTGCAAGATGGCGTCCAGAAGAGGCATGTAGGCCAAATCTTGAGGATGTACCCGTGTTCTACCCAACAGAAGAGGTATTTAATGTTGATTGCAGTATTTTGAATTGTTTGAATATCTTAGTTTGCCTGGATACTTGTTATTTGTAAAATTTGGAGTTCCTCTTTAAATAATTAACTTAACTGGTTTTATATTGTTTCTGCAGGAGTTTGAAGATACTTTGAAGTATATAGCAAGTATACGACCAAGAGCAGAACAATATGGAATTTGCCGCATTGTTCCTCCATCTTCTTGGAAGCCTCCTTGTCCTCTTAAAGAGAAGAATATGTGGGAGAATTCTAGATTTGCTACTCGTGTGCAGAAGGTTGATAAGCTTCAGAATCGCAATTCGATGAGAAAAATGTCAAAAGTTAATAATAATATGAAGAGGAAAAGGAGAAGATGCATGAGAATGGATATAGACTGTGGGTCTGGTAGTGGAAATATCTTTGGGTCCGCTGATGCTGGATTTTGTGAAGCAGAGGGGTTTGGCTTTGAAGCTGGCCCTGAGTTTACTCTGGATAAATTTCAGAAGTATGCAGATGATTTCAAGGCCCTGTACTTTATGCAGAAGGAAAATGATATAAATATAGAAGGTAAAATGAGCATTCTTCCAGAACACCATGAGCCTTCAGTTCAGAATATCGAGGGTGAATACTGGCGGATAGTGGAGAAAGCGACTGAGGAAATAGAGGTAAAACTTGTTTGGAAAAATAAGTCACCACTCCTTTGATTAATTTATTTTGTGCCTTATTTACAAAGCTACTGGAGCTGCTTTCCAACTCCAGAAAGCTATGGTTGGGACTTGAAATAAAACTTTCCTTTTGGCTTCTGAAATGTTGAAAATGGGTTTTTGCGGGATCGGAGTTGAAGCTTCAAATTTTAGAGATTCTAGAAAGAGTCACAATGAGAAGCTGATGGACAAAGTCAGTGGAGGTTCAAGTTGACAAAGGAAAAACAGTGGAGGTTCAAGTTGA